ACAATGTTGGGGACAGCGTGCAACCTTGTGGGACCCCCTGCTCAATGTCGAAGAATTTTGACAGTTCTCCGTCTAGCATGACCGCGCTTTTCGTACACTCTGTCATCTTCTTCAGCACTCTCCATATCATCCCCTTGATCCCGTATTTGGACAGTTGTTTCCACAACGCAGTTCTCCACACGGTGTCGTATGCCTTTTTCACGTCCAGGAAGAAGCAGTACGTCGGCTTTCCCGCCCACTTTCTACCCTGGATGATTCTCCCTACCGTGAATACGTGGTCCACGCACCCCCTCATCTTGCGGAAACCTGCCTGGCCCTCACTAATGCTATGTTCCTTCTCCAATACTCCCACTATCCTATCGTTCAGCAGCTTACAGAACACTTTTCCTACTGTGTTCAACAGTGTGATCCCCCTGTAGTTTCCTGGGTCAGTCTTGTCTCCTTTCTTGAACAAGTTCACAACCACTCCTTCCCTCCATCTACTTGGCGTATACTCGTTTTTCCACACCCAATTGTATAGCAGTACCATCAGCTGGATCATCCCCTTCCCCCCAAACTTCATGAACTCGTTGACTATCCCATCCGCTCCTGCTGCTTTGTGGCACTTCAGCTTGTTCACACACGCCTCAACCTCGTCCTCAGTGAACCCTTTTCTAGTCCTACGTTCCCAACGTCTGCCTTTCGATGTCTCTTCTTCTTTTTGGGCCCATGCGTCCACCTCCTTCTTAAACACTTGGTCAAAAGCTTCATCACGCCAAGTCTCTTGTAGTGTCCTGCTACATTGTGCTAGAACTTCCCTTTTTCCCTTCCCACTGCTGACTAATCCACCGTTCACACCTCGCAAAGTTGCGACCCCTGTATCCCCCCCTTGCGCGGTCTTTTTTACCATTCCACTAATCCCTTCCCACATCTGCTTGACGTTCCCCTCCAGGCCTCCGTTGGCCTGCTGCACTACGTCCCAAATACACTTTTTCTTCTTTTTAACTATTCTAGTCCCTTCACCTGTGTTCTCTTGGCCCTGTACTTTTCCCAACTCTCCTCAGACGCCTCACTCAGGTACTGCTTGAAGACTTCTCTACGTTCCCCTATTTCTTCTTTCAGCTCGTCATCCCACCACTTAACCGATACCCCACATCGTACCACCTTCCTTCCCACTACTCTCTCTGCCGTTGCGTTCACGATGGACTCCCACCCTTCAATCACCCTGTTCCCTGCTGCTTGTACGTCTACCTGTTCGTGTTCGACGCTTCTCAGCAGTTTTCTGAAGGGTTCTAGACTACACTACCAGCCAGTCCCTTCTGGAATTCATCCCGTGTCCCCTCGTCTCCCAAACGCTCTACTTTCCACCGGAACACTTTCCTCTGTT